CATTATAATTAGGCAACGGTTAATACAATGAGGGCGCGTCACAAGCATAAAACATACAAAGAGCTAAATCCATTACTGCTCCCAGGGCGTGTAAAGATACTGTGCTTCAAGTTCGAAGTTCATTTTAATTACACACACACAATCATTGCATCCACATAAAGATCGGACTATCATGGTCGTGTCTAGTAACAAAGAAAGCCCCACCGTCTTACCGTGCCTGTACCTAATTAAGCGCGCCTGGAACAGGCCAAATTCCAGCAACAGTTGCGGTAAGCACCGCGAGTGTTACTACCGCCGGCCAGATAACCAGGATATCTGCTTATAGTACCTCTGCTACCAGACAACTGCCTAAACCTACGGCCTATTCCACAGGATTGTAAAAGTAGGGATGTTTCTAAAATATGCATTTACTTCAATATCAAAACAGCTACGGTAAAAATAAAAACACGTGCATCATCCCGGACATAATGCCACACCACATGCGAAATTACACAGAAATAGCGACGTACGGAAGAATGCGTTTTGGCTGCGAACATCTTCCAAAAAACTTGGCATCTCTTAACCATGGGCAAAAACATCTGGAACCACTTATAAAAACCACCCCGTATCTGCATGAAGTTCCCCCCCCCCACTGCTATTCCAAACAACGCGTTTTTCTGGACCATTCCAATTCGCCTCGTAATTGTAGGGGTGCGTCTGCAATATTACATTGACCGCGAAAGCAGCAACGGCAAAAATACACATTCGTGCATCAACACGGGCATGCCCGCAGACGGCGTATAAAATTGCGTGCCGATTACACAAAGAGAACCCAGTGTTTTGACTGCGAACACGAAAAATCAGTCGATCACAACACTCCGTCCGGAGGTCCTGACCTCCTTCACGGAGTAACAAAAGAGATACACTACTTATACTAATCTAACTCTATTAATACAGTCTCTCATTGGCTGCTGTGTTACAGTGGCGACCTTTTTCAATTTGCAAAGAGTGGGCACTAATCCTAAGTTTTGTAATGCTGTTTCTAAATGATTTGTTTTGAATTGATAAAATATAGTGTTTTAATTTTGCAGTAGGTATTGAGTTTGGTAAGACCTTGAAAATGATAATAAGTTCGTGTGCCGGCATTTACCCCCTGAAATACAGCGTTATTAGCGATTTCTTCAACTTGTTCCCAGACAGCGCGGCACTAAAAATGAATTGCGTGATACATGCTGGAAGTTCTGTGCGAGGCCGCCGGCAACTCCCATTACCACATGTTACCAGGAGGTGCGGTTGA